CATCCATCCATCCATCCATCCATCCATCCATCCATCCATCCATCCATCCATCCATCCATCCAATTTGTCACCACCCATCTCGTGAAATGACTCTGGGTGGTTTACAAGAAGATAAAAATTCATTAAAATACAATGTAAAAACAATCCTAAAAATAAATAAGTTCCAAGAAGATAGAAAATTGGCAAGTCATCTGCCCAGAGTCACCCAGTGGGGGAGGTGGGTGGCATACAAATTTAACAATAAATAAATAATAATTCCAGGCAGCGTTATCAGGGGGCTAACCACCCCCAGGGTCGGGTAGAGCCCATCTCACCCCATGCACACTGACAGAGCCAGGTCTTTAAATCTTTTCGGAAAGCCGGGAGGTCTGAAGTTCTGCTTCCCTGGCCCCCCGTTGGTGGATTTCCTGCTTCTTTGCCCCTCCAGGATCAGTTCAAACCAAGAAAGAAAAACTCACAATTTTTCCAATTTTCCCACCACTTGGTCTGAAAGGAGAAAGTGGCAGAACTCTGACCAATATTACCTGCTGGGGGGTTTTGTTTTGTTTTTAAAGCGAGCCCACCATTTCCCTGTTTCAGCAGGGAACTTGTAAAAATAAAATTAAAAAAAAAATAGCATCTCACTGTTTCACCGGTGATTTTGTTAAAAAAAAAAGAAGCAACTGTAAAGGGCAGTGAGCAGAGGGGAGGGGCATTTGTGTCACCGGGGATGGTAACGGATTGGATCAGAAACGTTTGCCTGCAATGAAATTCAGCACAGCAGGTAAACCTGGGCTGTCCCCTAAGCCGGCATGACTCCAAAAAATGCTGTTTCGACCCGTAGCAGGAAAGGATGGGTAAATGAATCCTTTCCGGGGGCTGGAGACAAGTAGAGCACAATGTTGTGCATTTCTGTCCTCAAGAACTGGTCACGGCTGAATTCGCACTCCTGGGCAAGCTGATTGTGTGAATCTGCCCCCTTTTGGGTTTTAGAGATGCAGCTTTTCACCACCAGAGGGCACTGTTTCAGGGAACCACATCCTTAAATGCAAGACCATCTTAATGGATCATCTGAAGCGCAGTCGGAAAGCTTTGGGAATTCTTTCTGCTGGATATGGAAAGATTTTAAGGAGCAGGCCAGAATCCACTGGGTCAGATGGGGGAGTGAATTGCAATTTTTTTGGGGGGGGGGCTTCTGCCCTGTCCTCCTTGTTATTGGACTTGGTATTATTTGAAAGCTTTTCACACATTGGAGCAAAACCCACACTTCAGCTGATGCACACAGCACGCTCGCATGACACACTTAGCAATTTGCTGGTTAACCTCCATATTTTGAGGTAGGTGGGTGACTGACATGTCTGCTATTTTCTTTTTAAGAGATTTTGAATGAGAGTTTTACAGATATCACAGAAGCCCAGTTAGGAACCAGACTGCTGTGGACAGGATTAAGAAAAGCCAAACCTTTCTCTACCCCCTTTACATCCCCACTTGAGTGTTCCCACTCCAAATGGGGATAGAAAATATGAAAGGAGCAGTAGAAACCGTAAAGGGGAAATTTCCATAAATCAGTTTCCCACCTAATGGGAGGATGGGAATTGCACATGACTCAGAGTCAGCTTCAGCTGGAGTGACTTACAAGCCTCACAAAATAAATAAATTCAATAACTCCCCTGTAATGGTATGTGGGTATGACCTTGGGAGACAGGGCCCAGAGATGCTCCCTAGGGAACGGTCAGATAAGAGAGAGCATAGCCCGCAGCTGGATAGTGGGCAGGGCAAGAGACTCAGAAGGGACCCTCCCTAGTTTCTCAGGCTGTAAAGGAGACGGCAGGAGAATTGTACCTTCAGACTTGCAAGATTCTGTCAATGTAGCTTTACAATAAAGTAGAATTAGATCATCTGGTCATGTTTCCTGTCTGGTCTACCTGGTAAGGCTGATAGTTCCCCTACTTCTCTTGGACAACATGTCAGTCTATGTTGGGTGAGTTAATCCCAATTACCCAACCAATAAGTGGGGGATCCCAGGAGATGTAGTTCAGCAAAATCTGGGGGTGCAAATCAGTTCTCTGTGGGTGAGAGAGCATGCATTGAACACCTTCATCTGTTCTTATGGATTTATTGCCCACATTTGTATCCTGCCACAATCCAGAACTCTCAGCGGCTTCTTGCAGATCAATCTGCATATGTGAATGTGTTCATTCTTGCAATTGCCCACTTGTTGTATGTCTCAGTTGTAGGTACGAAACTGAAACCTGTTGGATTTGGGTGGCCAAAAATTTAAAACAACAATAATCCTTTCTGGACTTTTTCTCCTTCCTCCAGGCTCGTGTTACGCTGCTGGATGGCTCACCTGCCCCCAACCTCCCAGTCCGCTTCAAAACCCGTGTAACTGGGGCCCAGTCTCCCGCGGATGGCCAGATGGAGACCGATGAGCAGGGAGTTGTGAACTACAGAATCAATGTTCCTCAAGGGGCTACCTCACTCACTGTCATGGTATTGCCCCACCCATCAGGGAAAGGAAGGGTGATGGAAGGACAATTGTTGGCAGGAAAAAGAGATGTGGGAGACTCCACGAGTGTCTGCAGGATGGAACTTCAATCGTACCACTGTAGCCGCCATCTTGACTTTTTTAACCATACTCTGCGGATACTCCTGGGAGACTCAATGGATGCTCCTTTTTAATCATATTTGGCTTATACTCTCCCCAGCCATAGGTTAACCTACCCCAACTCAAAGTTCTTTAGATGATTTGGACTCCAAGAGCAATGCAGTTACTGGGGAAGGTGCAGTCAAATGTATCTGGAGGGCAGAAAGTTCACGGCAGGCTTCTGGATTCATAGGAGAATTGAGCAATTTAGCCAGGAAAAGAGTTTTTCATTTTTGGAAGCCCAAGAGCCACTGTGAACCAGGCAGTGATGATGCAAACTGGGAAGGGCTGGGGCGAGGGAGAGGTTCTTTTTAAAATAATATAAAGCATATAATTTTCATTTATCATCTCGTAGCAAAGAGATGACAAAGGGAAATTGTGCCACCAACTTTCAGTTTTCACCAGAAGTGCTTATCGGGGTCTACAAAGAAGGGCCCCCAAAGGCATCCACGAGGGTGTGTCAAAAAATCACAGTAGTGGCCAAGACTGTGCAACTGAAGCCCCACCTCATTTTACACAAGCATGTTAGAAAGGGGCAGAGCTTTGATTGCACGGTCAAAGTTGCCACCTTGGCTTTTTTGAGACCCTTTGCAGATGCTCCCTGACAGATGTGCAACTCTGAAGATGTACAGTAAATATGCCCTCTAGACTCTACCAGTGTTGGGGCAGCTGTTTTTCATAATGCTGAAGCTTCCAAACTGTCTTTCAAACTTTTGCACAGAGACAATGATCACAGTCATCTTTTTAAAAAATTGTTTATTGAATAAAACAGAAGAGAGAGAGAAAAAAATAAAATAATAGGGAGAGGGGAGGGGAGGGGGGAAGGAAAAGAGGGAGGGAGGGAAGAAGAAGGAGGAGGAGGAGGAGGAGGAAGGAAAGCAAGCGAAGGAAGGAAGGAAGGAAGGAAGGAAGGAAGGAAGGAAGGAAGGAAGGAAGGAAGGAAGGAAGGAAGGAAACAGCAAAATGAATATATATGACTTTCATATATGTATGCACACACACACACATACATACATACACTCATGCTGTACCCACACATAGTGAATAGGAAATTTTCACAATCCAGTTTCAATAAAGGTTAACCATCTTTCATTGGACCTGTCCTTCCATAATGGTCTGCTCTTGATGTCACCTCTGTCCAGTATGTGTATAAAAAAGGCTGACTATCTTTTTTTTCCCCACAGCTAACAGCAGGGACAGAGAGTCCAGCAGAAGCAACCCTGACCACCAAAGCTACCAGGTCCCCTAAAGGAAACTATCTGATCATTGAAAGTCCCAAAAGTTATGGCCTGAATCTTGGAGAGACCCTCACAATCGGATTGAAATACATTGGGTCAAGTGCCTTCACCAACTTCTATTACATGGTGAATCCTTACAGAGGGTTTGATGGGAGATGTTCACAAGTCCCCAGTAGTACTCTGGGTGGTGGATTCTTCTTCAGTGGAACTCTTTTATAGATTTCTTTGTAGGAATAAGCCAAAGCAGACTCATTTGAGGGCAGCTTTTCATATTTTGGTGTCCATCAGATGACTTTGAAATCCCAATTCCCACCAATCCCAATCAGCGTGGCCCAATACATTTAGTACAGTGTTTCTCAACCTTAGCAACTTTAAGATGAGCGGACTTCTACTCCCAGAATTCCCCAGCCAGCCATCATGGCTGGGGAGTTCTTGGGGTAGAAAGCCCATCCTCTTTAAGTTTCCAAAGTTG